TGTTACAGCCGCAAGTTTTGGTGTAGAAAACCGAGACGAGCCTCACTCTCCGCTTGTCCATTCCGAGTGGATGGGGCTGCATTAAGCATCAGACCGTGTGCCGCCCGGAAAGGGATAATAATCTCTACCTCCCAGAGTATCGGGCTCCTCCAGCGTAAGAACTACCGGATTCTGCCCTCTGAAGGAAACCGATAACGGTACCACCGAGTAACAGGTTCACCCTAAGTTCTCGCCTGGAGTCTCACCTCAAGCCACTACGAGTCCATTCCCAAGTAGCAGGTATGGACTTGGAATATTTTGCTTCCCCGTAGGTCCCCCCCTGCACCCTCTCCCTATGAAGACACGATCTGCCACTCTAACCCACGTGTGCCTCTGATCTCCAGCACCCGCCGTCCACTGCAGACCGGAAGGCAAACACGAATCCAGCCTGTGCTTTAGAGAGGTTGCCACACTCTCAAGGCTACACCGTTATGTTGCGCCTGGAAACCCTCCTTGCATCCAAGGGTTGGGAGAGATCTTAAGGAAATATAGGTGCCGTAGCACCAGGGTTGAGAAAGGTAAGTGACCTTGGCCACCCTTTACCACCCATTGTCACCGTGACCCCACATTTTCCTTACTGCCACTCAAGAAGCCACATGCACTGGATAGGAGTACAGACAGAAGAAATACTGTGAAGATACTGCCAGGAAGAGGAGGAGACCGCAGAACACATTATATGTGTTCTATGTTCATTCTATGAAAGTGCAGGTTCTTGCAACTATGGCAAGAAAAACCACAAGCCACAGCCTACAAAGAGCCGCCGGCAAAGGTATGGAGGCTGATTAAAAACCTGAAGCGGGCCAGTGAGTTATAAATAGCAGGGAAGCACAATAGATCTATTCAGGTCGATGGGCTGTAGGCCTTGTTGCCGCCTCTTTTATCCCTATCTCCCTACCTCCAAATTAACACCTTTTAATTTCAATTTTTAATTTCAAATTAACTGTTTTTAATATATAATTGTTGATTATAAATTAACTCTTTCTTTACAACATCAACAAATAGTTGGGCTCTAAGAAGAACATGTGAAAATAAATTGCAATTAAAATAAAAATTGATTCTCTCACAGTATTCTACAAAATATTCCACTTGTTCTACGAGTTGACATAAAACTAACATTTTCCTAATCAAGAGTCAGCGTTAATCCTGTTTGTTCTGGATGCACGGATCGCTACACATACTTTCGCTCATATTACTCAGCTTTTATAGATAGACTGTCTTATTCTCCTTACATAAAAAACGATTATTTTGCAAATGTATAATTTAGTTTTCTAACAATCGTCAAATACTAATTACAAAACAGTCAATCTGCCTCCAGTCATAAATTTCTTACACACAATGTAAATAGCAAACAATTTTGTTGAGAAGTCTAATTTATCGTTCAAAAGCAATAATGATCTCATGAGCCGTTAGTGGAAATCTATTGATATAACTTGCTCAACGCTCCACAGTCCCACAATTTTCTCATATTTTCAACTGCCTCTTACGGTTGTTAACTAGGATTAGATATTACTATGCAGCATCGACCTATTTGGTATTCAAGGGGCGTAGTGAGATCCCATATTCCTCAAAAATGTGTGTTTGTGATTCAGCAGGTTGCGCTGTGTCATTACTCTTTTTTCCCGTCTGGAAACAGCTGAAGGACTAATAATTTTGAAAAGAACAAAACACTTCAATTTAGAAATCACACATACGCTCTCCTTCCTTTTAAAAACGTCAAGTCACAATTACTAGCAATTTGGTATAAATAGCGGTATTAAACACGAGTGCATAGAGGTTTTCAGAAATATGAAAATTCAGATTAGGATACTATTCACAAAACCAATAAATTAACATTAATGAGCTTATGAATCTATTTGTTGAAGCTGATAACTGATAGCTGGTAATCATTGTCACTCTGTCACTCTGTCACTCTGTCACTCTCTCACNCTCTCTCTCTCTCTCTCTCTCTTTCTTTCTCCCTCCCGCCTCCCTTTATTTTGCCTATTTTCAGGCATCGGAAATCTGTACCAAAATATTCAAAAATAATTGTAGTTTAATTTTTTTAAATGATAACAAAGTTGATTTTTTCGTAGAAAAAGTGTTTATCATAATGGCCGTAAATTAAATGAAATATAAAACCTGATCATATTCTATAGGTATGCGCGGCCACAGCCTGACGGACATGATCCTACTACAATCGGATATATAATAACAATATACATCTGAAAATTTCTTGACTGTCTCATGAACCGCATCTTAATCACGACCTCGTCCTAATTAACGAAATCAAATTAAACTAATTTTCAACTCCACCAAAGCAAATAAAATGAAACATATATTATAAATCAAAGGTACTCAATCCTGTGAATCCTTATTCCTCGGGATCTCTCGCACACCTGAGTTCCGAGGTCCAGTTCTCTCTCCCTCTTATTGTTTATCCGAGATACCCAATCCTAATCATTGGGCTCGTGACATTATTCATTTTTATGTCAAGTTAATTGTAAACTTTAATAATACAGAATAAATAAATCTTTTTTTAAAAAGTTTTTTAAAAACGATTTATTTATTATTGTTACGGCCAATGCCGTGGAAAGAAAAAAAATATTAATTTAAAAAATTAATGAAACGTTAATAAAATAAATTTAAGAAAATTCTACATTAAAATAAATGACGGGAGAGATTCATAAGGGACTTACCACCTTCCTTCAGATGACGGCTGTAAGAAACGTAGGGAGCTCGGGCCCGATTCCACTGGCTTCGCCGCAGAATATCCGATGATTTCAGTAGGAAGAGAACAGGACTGGGCTTGTAAGGAACGTGGGAGTAGGATTAGGGATTGCACTAATCCAAAACAAAGTATATTTAATATAATATGGCTGGCGCCAACATTCCGCCCACTTAATTTTCACAAAATTAAAAAAAAATCGATGTCTGATGAAATAAGAGAGGAATGAAAACGCGAACTGCGAAGAGAGAAAAAAAGAGAAACCTCAACATCAAAAAACCAAACAGAAAATGAAAAGGACCTTTCCAAAACTATAATACAGCTATGTACAACGATTTTTACAGCGCCAGCGTGAACCTCCTGAACACGACCGATGGGCCATGATAGTGGGGACGTCTCTACTCCACTCAAGAAAACTACATCACCAACTTATAGTTGCCACTTTTTCCTCTGAATCAACGTGTTCAAATATTCGTTGGACCAGCGGTGCCAAAACGCTTGGAGAAGTTGCATTAAATGATGCCATCGGGAAATAGGTCGAAATTCGTCAGTCATATGCCGCTCTAGAGCCGAGAGGGGAGTTGTAGTGAGCAAAAAATGGGAGGAACTCAGATAGTCTGGATCATCTCCAACTAGCACTCTTCTAGCAAACAGAGTACTGTACTCCTCGAAAGTCTGTGCTTATTCCCAACAAGACGATATAAAAGCCTTTTGGTGGACTTGACCACGGCTTCCCAGAGACCGCCGAAATGAGGGGCAGCAGGAGGGTTAAAATGGCACTGAATGGTTTTTTTTTGAAGTTTGGATAATTGGGAAAACTTATTGAAATATTTGAAATTCATCTATTATTATTATTTTTTATTGAGGACAGAACTAGGCACGTGGGTTTCAGTTCTTCGAGTTCGTCAATCGAGAGAGGCTCAAAAGAGACCGGTAATTTGCGGGAAAGTGAGGGTTTAACAAAAGTGGAGAACCTTCCAACCAGAGGCGGTTCACAATTAACTCACTAGGGACTCTGGTTCTGGAAGACTTTCTGGAGACTCTAATTGTCCAATTATAAGTTCCATAGATAAAATCGATTGATTAAAAAAAAATCGTACCACACCTATTATAGAATTCCACAAAGTTGGTGCTGAAATGCATTAACATCAAACAAATGTTTCGTACAATGCAGTATTATTTGAAAAATAAGCAACTGTACGGTTGATGTTTGTAATATCACGGATGTAATTTTAGCTTTACCAAAGTCATTCTCTTGAAATTGGTTGAAATTTTCGCGGAAGAACAAGAGGCTTTGTAACTATCTGATACCCAGGATATGAACGATTACGATGACAATGGTGACAGAAGGTCCACACCTGCCGCACATTTGATTCGTTGATATATGCAGGTTTTAATCTAGTTTTATACGACTTCCTCTCAAAACCTATTTAGGAAATAGGCGTGCCACGGAATTCGTTCTTTTCTTTATATACCTCAGTATATAATTCAGGCCATTGGTTTATCGAAAAAACTATATAAATAGAAGTGGGAACGTGTGTGTAGAGATTAGTGATCGTTAATCGATAGTTATTCAGATATCGTGAGACACCCGACCGCATCTCACGATATCTGAATAACTAGAAGTTGGAACTTTGGCTCGGTACCAGAGCACACAAGACAGAGGGACAACAAAGCGGCCGATTAATTGGCCAAGGAAAGTTAGATGAGAACACGGTCACGAGAGTCCGTAGCAGTAACATTCGGACTAGTCTACAATCTATTGGCATACAAATGTAACATGTCGATGAAAAACAAACTTACAATCTACAAAACAAAAAAATAAGCCATAGCCGATGCTCTGTAACATTAAACTTCACAATGACCTCAGAATATCTTTCCAACAAAAAGTTGACATTCAACTATAATATCTCCTCGCACCCAAATGACTACCTCCAGTCCTTGTCCAATAAAAACCACCCTTATAACCCCTTCATGCTACAGAAGCAGTATGTCGTCGCGACCTCCTAATGGAGGATTAGTCCTTGAAATGTGTAGGCAAAACAAGGGTTGTTATCTACCCTCAGGAAATATGATCTATACCCCTTGAAAATATTGTAAAGATCCATCATAACGTAAATAAATTATTTACTGATTAGTATAAAAAAATTAAGAACCCGGGAGTCTTACACTGATGAATCGTGTCAACGCTTTAACCGTTCGGGCACCTTCATCCCCATTATTTTTTCTTATGTGTTGATTCGTCGTTTCTTTCTAGGCCTTAATTTAAGCGAATCGTCAAACGTGGATCCTCTAGCGACTACGATCGGAAAATGGTTGGCCTCCATAAATTTGCCACAGTACGAGACGACGTTCATTAACTACGGCTACGACAATTTGGATTTCATCGTAAGCATCACGTTCTAACGTGAAAGGTAATTGAAAATAACACCAAATAAATAATTGTCTTTTTTCAGAATGGCGTTCTTGACGAAACAGATCTAAAGGACATGGGAGTGACTGAAGTCGACAGGAAGACGCTTTTGGAGGCGGCCAAGCAGCTTCAGAACAAAGTAGTTGAAGCTTACCCTCTACAAGTTAATAACAACAACAACAATACTAATAACAACAACAACCATGACACGAAGGATGACGAGAACGCAGATGGCGAGGAGAGTCTAAGTGTGGACGACTGGTTGGAGAAGCTCGACCTCGCATGCTACTGGGACACGTTCAGAAAACACCTATACACCGAAATGGACAGAGTGAAAAGTGTCTGGGAGGTGGAACTGACAGCTGTCCTGGAAATCAGCAAACCAGGCCACCGACACAGGATCCTGGCCTCTCTCCCTAGATCGTGCAACCAGCCCAGCATACAAGACATCAACGAGGAACTTGCTCAGCTGGTAAGTCGGCATTTTTATCAATTCGCGAAAATATAATGCTAAATGCATTCTGAACATCACAATTCATCATTGTTCAATTTTTGTGTTACTGTTGATTCTAGGGTGCACGTTAAAAGGAGTCGGCCTCTTATGTTTAGTTTCATTGCCAAGACGTTGAAACATCCCTTTTGGAATTTATCAAGCAAGCTATCTTGCCTATCTTGCCGTTGAGTCGAATAAGTTCCAGTCTGTACCTCAGATTGGAAAACCTATCCTCATATAAACCCACTATTGTTATTGCGTTTTCTCTCGTCTTGAAACATTTTTTTCTTCGATATAATTTCAGAAGCACAGGCTAGGGGAAAATATTATAACTAAAACTATAAATTATTGACTTTCTGCTTGTTGCATGCTCACGCGAATCTGCTTGATCAACGGAAAATGTCGGTTGCGCAAGGTTTTAATAAAGACTCCTGACAATTTTTTCCCTTTCGGTTTCATCTGACGTTCTTTAAGCAAAAACACAGTAAACTGATATAAGAAGTTCGTGTTTAAAACAACCCCTCAGCTAGCTAAACGTTGAATTCCTAACTATTGCATATTTGAAATATCCTAGGACGCCATCTAAAGATCCTTTATATATTATTTAAGGCGTGTTCGTCTGTTCTTAAACGCACTGCTGTTATCTACCTTGCATTCTAGTTGTATCGGTTTATATTTTAAGAGTCTGACATCCAGGAGAGCATAATAAGCAATTCCGTCGAATGATAATTGGTAAAATTGGTCAAAATCACAATATTTTTTCCAGATTATTATCAAATAAAATTCTAGGGGTTTTGTCAAGATTCAAACCCAAAACGGCAAGGGTGGCAAATAAGAGTCGGACGCCCTAGTCACTTAGCCACCCATAAAACGTTTGTATTGAATATTAACAGTTTCTGACTTTTTAAAATTCAAATAAAAACAAAAAATAAAAGACATCGAGTGGAGAAGCTATTCACTGGTAGCACTCCTAAATTAAGAAATCATCACTTAATCACTTGCACGGTCTGAAAGCAGGTCAAGGGTACACTGTCTTTCGTCGAGGAGTTAGGAAGGGATCGTGAAGAAAGTGGTCGTACATGAGGATTAGAGTGAGATTGGAGGGTAGTGTATAATTTTTTGTAGCTTAATTTTTTTATTTAAAAAGGGAAGATTTAGGTCATGGATATTAAGGTTAGAAACATTGAAATGGCGTGAAGGATGGATCTATGGATTCGTGATTGTAGGGTCTCGATTCTACGTCCATATTTCATATTTGTTTCAGTGTTGAGTAGTATAAGAGTGTCTACTTGTCAAGCGAGATTTTAGATCTGTTATCTAATCAGTATTTTAAGTAGTCGGTATCTCGGTTCAGTTCTATCATTTTGAATCTTCTATGGGGATTACAGGTGAGTCGTTTGTCTTAATAAAGCCATAGGCAGCGGATAACGTTTTCGGCGGGAAGTGGGTAAAATTATGATAGCTTGGGGGTAGAGTGATGCGATGGGGATATATATTTTGGCACTTTGTGGTGTTTAGTTTGAATCGCCATTTTTTGATCCACTGTTCAATGAAATATAGGTGTGTCTGGAGGGTTTGGTGTGCTCTAGCGGGGTCGGAGTAGGGGCAGAATACTATTGTCATCAAAGTTAGGATAGAGGCGTCAGGATGGGAAATTATAGCAGCAGTATATACTGAGTACAGTAGCGGACCGAGGGCGCTACCCTGAGGGACACCCGCGTCCACTATGTACAAAGGAGAGTGTAAGGATCCTACCCATACTCGAAAGTACCCGTCACCTGGCAGAGTATTAAAGGATGAAATTGTGTAGAAAGTAGGATGCTGATGAGTTTGAAGATCAGCAAAGCCCCCAGAAAGCCTGTTCGACATCGAGAAAGACTCCCGAGCAGTATTCTTTCTTCTCAAGGGAGGATGCGATGATGCCCACAACGCAATGGCATTGTTGAACAGTGGAATGGGGACGCCTACATCCAAACTGATTGTTAGGGATTATTATGATTGATGGGGATGGTTCGAGGATGAGGTGTATTTGTTTATGATGGAGTTTTTCAACTTACCAAGAATTAGCAGTAAACTGATGGGATGATAGAAATTGGGAAGTTGATAGTTAAGGGCAGTGGCCAACCTATACCTTTTTTCAAATCCTGCCTACTGAAAGACAGGAATTCCTTCGTTTTTCTTTTTGAGACATTTATAAATTTCTTATCGCGTTATACCTGGTGCGTTTGTCCTGTGTTTGGAGTTTTTTATTCTCAAGCCATTTTTCCAATTCCAAGTTTAAGGACGCATTCCGGTGCGCCCAGTATTGGTTCAGATCACATGGGTGAGATGGCTGACCTTTTTTTTGGCCTGTTGGTCTTCTTGTTCATTTCCCTCTATGCCTTCAAGTGCGGAAACCCACCTTAAAGTTATCTTGTTCTGTTTTTTTCCCAGAGTCAGGAGGCAGTTTAGGCACTCGCAGACAAGTTTGAAGTTGAAAGCGTACGCATTTAATCTTTATGGTTGAATTTATGCAGAATGTTGCCAATGTGTTTTCTCCAATTGAGCCTTTGGTCAAGGGTTATACGATGATACTTTGTTTCTTTGGAAAAAGTTAAGGTTTCCTCTTTTATAGTGGGAGCTTTTAAATTGTGATTCCTTCTTCTTGTAAAAGGTATGAAATATTTTTTCTTAGCTTTGTGTTTAAACACTTTTTTTAAATTGTCCCACACCATCTTCCTACAGTAAGTAGGAGTTTTGAATCTGATTGACACTGTCCTCGACTTCTAGTACTCATACTTGTTCAATTTTATCTGTACATAATTGAGTCAATAAAAACTTAACCTACTACAATTATTGTTGGTTTAATACTATTATGTGAACTATTGTCAAACAAAGAGATCAAGATCAATTCTGAGTCTTATTTACTCGAAGGAAAATTTTAATTAAATCCGGGAATTGCGCAATTAGGCGGAAGAAAACAAACTATGACTAGGTTATTGTGCTCTGCGACATACGTGTTTCGTGTTCGCACAAGAAAGGTTTTCCTCTCTTATATCCTATTTGTATTGAAACTGTATCTCAAACGTTTTTGAGGTGGGGTGTTTCGGCCCCTTCCAGGACTTCCAGGTGTATCCGCGAATATCCCTCCACCGGGACGAACGGCTCGTCTCAACTTTAATTGCCGCCCGCGTTAATATGCATGAAGGTGAAAATATGAAAGCTCCGCTTTCCCGCCCGTTCAGTAGCGAGCCGTTGTTCGGACGGCGAGGGCCAACGGCTTCTTCACCGCGCGATGGTTTGGTGACTCTTTCCTAGTTAGTGGTGCCACGTTTCTGCAACCTGAAAATGCATGCGTGCTTGAACGCCGTTTGTCTCCTTACTGGATTCAGGAAGCAAGGCCTCACGATTGTAAGTCCAAAACGTTCGAAACCTGAAAAATTAATAATAAATCCACTTCCAGCAACAAATACTTATTAAAACATGCAATAACTAGAAAAGTTCCGTTCTAGAAGAACCTTATTATGACTGACTAACCCCATAAAGAATTTTCGGCGAGACATTTAAAGGTCGTCCGAACATATTCTTCTGCTATTCTAAAGTAGATGGGGGGCTTTGCGGTCTGAAACACCTTGCTTGAAAGGAAATTAAAAAGGTTCGATAGAAAGCGATGATTTCCGCTTAATATTCTGGTAATTTTCCACATTAATTCCATACAGCCTAGAACCTTTTAAATTGGCTATTTATACGAATAATATTACAGTCTTATTGACTTCAAAACATACATTCTTTGATATATTTATATTCATTCTTTAACTTCGTTAAATTCTTTCATATCCTTAACAATCCACATGAAACCAATAATAAACCATGCGAGACAATGCACTGATTTTAACATTTTATAATAATTTAATTTTAATTGCATATCATGAAATAAGTACGACTAAGGGTATCGACGGATCATAGGGTGACTCAAGGTCGAAAAATATTATAAACGAGTCCAAGCTCTCTTGTCAATAAACCCTAGGCGACGAGATTATTTTAGAAGTAATTTGAATGAGTTTTTTAAAATACATTTTTAAAAAAAGAAGTACAAAAATCAAAAGGCGTTCCTACTAAAGTAGTTGAAAAAATTAGGTTTCATTTTAAACAGTCTTTAAAGGTGTTAAGTAGGAATTTTCATAGCAATAAAATTTAAATTTAATTTTTGGCTGGATTTGAAAAAGGTCAGTAGATGAAATTAACTCACTTAATCTTGCCAAGCTATCAATGATTTCACATTCATTAGGTCCTCACAGGCATTCAAATTATAGCATTGTTAATTCGGCCTATTTTTTTCTTAAGAATACTTTAGCGTCTAAATTTGTAATCCAATTTAGCGATAAAATGATAATTAAGATCTAAATATTTTGACTGGATTGGCCGTGGGACAATTTTTTTCTATAATTTCCTGCAGTGTTTCACTTAAAAATTCATAACTTCTCTGGGTGTTATCAAAATTTAATTTTATTACAACCATCATAAAGCAGAACAGTTCCCCCTCCAGTATGTGCTATGAATTTATACATGTACATTGCTATAAGTGAGACAAATAAACTAGAAATAAAAACACTTCTTAGAAGATTTATTTTATATATCCGGTTTTAATTTATTATCGAAGAACATTTATGACATTATATGTGGCTTATAGGGTTGTAAACCTTGTAAAGGTTCCTGTGGCGCTAAGTGAATCTACTTGAAAGTTATATTAGTAAGTTGTAGGATCGTATTAAATGAGGTTAGTCACATAAAAAGTTGCCAAAACCGAAAGACGTTTCAAGAACTTCAGTAAAGTAAGCCAACAAACATTTTTACTCAAAAAAACATGCAATTCGAATTCGTTTTAAAACCTATAAATACAATTTTCATAGCTATAAAAAATAGACATTTTTTGGCTGGATGGGCCAGGGGTACTTTTTTTTACTTATGTTCTTTAATATTTTACTTAATAATTCATAACT